TGGGACAACTGACCACTGTTGTTCTCCTGAGAAGGGCTTTTTAACTGTTTAGTGTGCTTTTGACCTCCAGGAACCAGCTTTGGTAAAACAAGGCTTGCAACTTGACAAGATCCAGGATCCTTGAAGCTAACAGGTTATCCCATTGTCTTTCAAATGTATGCCTGGATGCTTTTATCTGGTAAGCCATTGTGTTGCCTTCATGCACAGACCCCATGGAATTAAAGTATTATGGGCATATAATAAACTTTCCACTACCCCCAAAATAAGTTAGAGCAATACAGCCATACATAAAATTTTAATATCCTACCATAGTTACACAGTAACTTTACCTCACTGATCATCTCACATACACTGTTCATAAAACTATTACATCTCAGGAATGTGCCTTGTTACGTTCCTGTGAAAATCTGGCCAAGTTATAAACCACTGAAAAATCTCAATGTGCACATGCTCAGTAGAGACCATTTAGAGTTTAGTGGCTAAATTATCTGGATTCCATCCTCACTGAGCATGCTCCTTTCCCTCAGGGTTCCTTGATCTAAATACTGAACAGGCTGTGCATGCACCATTCCCACAGAGTCACTGAGCATGTTCCATCCTGGGCCTATGGGGGCTCAACTAGATTTTCCTTGCAATTCCTCCTCCTGGCTGCCAAGGGCCACTGTGGTGTCAGACCCTGTGTCATAATCTGGGACTTAAGTGATCAGACCTCATGGTCAGAGCAGTTGTGGTCAGAAACCAGAGGTCAGAGACAAGAGTCATGAGTCAAGCCAAGAATCAGAGCCAGTCAGGAATCAAGCCAAGGGTCAGAGCTGGAATCAGGGTCTGGAATCAAGCCAAGGGTAGAGTTGGAATCAGTAGCCACAGGTGGAGCATAGAAGTGGGAATCTGGAACAAGGCAGGAGGACAGGCACCAGGAACAGGACAGGAAGGCAGGAATCAGGAATGAGGCAGGTCTTAGGAGTCAGGTGAGAAGAAAGGGTCCAATGTAGCAGCCAGCCAGAGATTTACTTGGTTGGTTAGATGACTGTCTGTGCCTTCTTCTGTCTTAAATAGTATGTCTGAGCCAATTGAGAGGCTGGACATCTCTTCTAGTTGGAGCTTTGTGGCCAGTGCCTAGGGTGAGCTTGTGTCCATCATCTCATAATCCCTGCCCAGTACCAGTAAGCTCCTAGGTGGTGGCTGTGGTCTGAGCACTGTTTGAGTACCCTGGGTTTGAGACCTGCAGTCCTTCAATGTTCACGTACTGTAATGGAGATCAAAGAGACTGGCTCTCGTGTGCTCTCAATTCTCCCCCAGCTGGCTCCCAGGCAGCAGAGGAGGAAGCAATCTGACTAAAATGGAGGGAGATTGCAGGAACCAAGGGATAAGGAATAGGGGAGGGGAACAGGAGTTGGTGGGGAGTGCATGGGAGAGGAGGAGCTGGAAGCATATATAAGCACGGAAGGAGAGTAAGGCAGTTAGATAGAGATGGGGTTGGAGGGAGGAGGGATGCAGGAGCGCCTAGTTCAATGTAGCTAGGTCCACTATAATATTATTCTCTATTTACACTCTTTACATAGACTCTGCCCTCTTTTCTAGTTTTAGCCTTTTCCTGTTTACCTCAAGTTATATTAATTTTTAGGCAGATTCTCCATGAGAATGGAGAAGAACAGTGTGCATATCCCTGTTTACACAGCACTCCCTTCCCACAGGCTGACTTATGGACTCTCCCTGCATATGGGAACAGTGGCACTACAGAGGCAACTGCCATCCACATTGTCCCCAATAAAAGAGTGAGATTGCCTTCCCAGGCAGATCCCTGTGATCCTTCAGATATAGCCTTTCCTACCCATCCATCAATAGTGGTGGTGTTACCCGTAGCAGTGGGTTTCAGATGTAAGGAGATAGCCCAAAGAAAGGTGCAGAGATGAGAAGACCAAGAATCAGCAAGGCTTCGCCACTAAATATAACATCATGAAATTAATGTCCCAGGGTGGTCTATTTTTATTACATATTTATTTTTACTACCACTGGCTGTAAAATATAAAATTGTTGTAAGTTGTGGTTTTCAAAGGAGCTTCAGGGAAGTAGGCTTCAGCCTCCTGTTGAATTTCAGTGGGAATTAGGTGCCTATCTCCCTTTTGAAAATCCCACCCCTAGTGTTTTTAATCTCTTGTATTTTGTCATAATTGTGATGCAATGAGTAGTATTGCAGTGCTTAATCCTTCAGCAGTTTAGGCAGACAGTTAGCTAGCACTTGACTTACCTCATTGTGTGATAACCAGTTACTTGGAGAGGTGAAGATGCAGATGAGTTCCCTGTAATAGGCTCACACCATTACAAACATTGAATCTATCTCCCCTGGTAAGTATTCTCACACTTCTTATCAAACTGTCTGTACTGGGCTATCTTGATTATCACTTCAAAAGTTTTTTTCTCTTACTTAATTGGCCTCTCAGAGTTAGTAAGACAACTCCCACCTGTTCATGCTCTCTGTATGTGTGTATATATATCTCCTCAATATATGTTCCATTCTATGCATCCGAAGAAGTGGGCTGTAGCCCACGAAAGCTTATGCGCAAATAAATTTGTTAGTCACAAGTACTCCTGTTCTTATTGCGATTTCCAGCATTTCTCAGGATTTACTTTAGGAATGAGATCTATCTTGTTCCACTAGAAAGAAGGTACCTACTGAGTGAACCATCCCATTACAGCTGTAGCAATGGAAGAGCAAGGGGAACTCTTAGAAGAATTGTATACACAAGACTATAGTCTTATAGCAAATAATTTGAGGGTTATACTGCAGCTGAAATGTCATCATGTTCTAGAAGTGACATTTGGTTTTTTTAGACAGAAGTCAGGTTTAGTCTATATTTCATGTGAGGACTGATTAGTCATATCCCACACACTCATTTGAAAATATACATGGGGCTCTAGGCCTTTCTGCAATCAGTGCCAATCTACTCTAGTTAATGGTGGTGGATCCATTTACTAGGCACTACCTGGAATTCTCTAATTGTGGCCTAACCTACTGCAGGAGGCTGGGCAGAAGAAGCAGTGTCAAAGGATGGGACGACTTTCAAGTGTACCATAACCAACAGACCTTCAAAAGCACTAAAAACTTCTTTATTTTATGTGACTTCTTATATTGTTGATACAAAGTTTAGTGGGCTGCTGAAGATACACAGGGATCAAAGCCCCAGTGCCTATTCCCTTGCCCCTGTATTGGTTTCTGAGGACATAAAATTTATACACAGCCCTCACAGAGGAGTGTTCTCTATCACCACCTTGGTTTTGTCTTTTAGTTTAGGGGTTCCCCTAAAAAAATCGGGACCCCCAAGTGGGTCACAATCCCATTTTAATGGGGTCGCCAAGGCTGGTGTTAGACTTGTTGGGGTCCAGGGCCTGGGCCTAAGCCCCTCCGCCCAGGACTGAAGCTGAAGTCCGAGCCTCACCACCCAAGGCTATGGTTATGTGCCCCCCACCCAGGGCACAAGCCCTGGGGCTTCAGCTTTGGCCCCCCTGCCCAGCAGCGGATCTTGCTCTTCGCTTCCCCCCTCCTAGGGTCCTGTAGTAATTTTTGTTGTCAGAAGGGGGTCACAGTGCAATGAAGTTTGAGAGCCGCTGTTTTATATGCTTAGCTTCAGCAGCATCTAGTGGGAACAGATCAATATAACATTTGGTGGAGAGTTGGATTTCCTTGTGATGGACTGAAATTTTATTGTAGGTGTTCATGTTCAATGTTGGGGGGCGGGGGGAAAAAATCAATAAAAATAAAGCTGTGCAGCTGCACTAGGTCAGCACAAACCAGGAACAAAGAATAAGAGGCAGTGAGAAAATGGCTTGTTTATGGTTAAGAGTCTGCTACCCAATTAACATTCAATACCACTTTCCAGCAATTGGGGTGTAAATCTCCTTGACAATTTTACAAAACTATACAGGCATTACTATGATCTAAGACTAGAGTTCTAACTCACAGCTCACACTTACATCTAAAAGCAAAATCCATACTGGATCAGAACAGTACTTCTCAGCTAGTCTGTATGGCATATACCACAGCTGTGTCCATTTCAAGGACAGATCAAGCCCTGCTCACCCCCCGCTGTGATTAGATAAATTTCTTTTCAGCACTTTAGATTGAAACTAAGCAAAATACAGCAGAAAGGGAAAGTCTATTGCACAAGAAAGCTTCCTCCAACTCTAATACCTAGAAACATGTTGTTCCAACCTCTCTTTGCATGTGTGCAGGAGAGGGGATAGGAAGCAAGCATCATGGTATCATTATTTAACACATGCTGGGTGAAAGAGTCACATACCACAACATGGCCTGGTATTCTTCATTGTTTTCTTATGCAGTTCAAGTATGCTGGCACGTGAAAACTGTTTCAGAACGGTACAAAGAAGGGGAGTTTTCCATTGGCATGGCAAATAAACCAGCTGAATGATTTGTCTTTTCTTTCTTCCAACTCATGCAAAATCTTTAATTAGTTAAAATGGATTTTTAAGTAATCAGTAGCACATGCACAGAGCACAGGATAGTCAAGACTGCAATTTGCTTAATTCCTGAAGGGCTTTCATTCTTTATACAGTATCTATAAAGCTAGCACTAGAGATACAAAATACCTTATAGTGCAGACTCTCCCCGAGTTAGCATCAGCAGCTTATTGAATATAAAAGTTGGAAACAGACCACCCCATCTCACAAAAGATTAAAAAAAAATCTTTAAAGGACTCCCCAGAGCTGTAAAGGAATTCAACAACAATTTTTTAAAAAGAATAAGCATGTACCACTAAAGATCCACCCTTGTAAAGTGGGAGAATACTACCCTATATGACAAGAGCATCAAAAGCTTAATTATTGATAAAGCCCTTTGAGAGCCTTGCATAAAGTGCTAGACAAGTTCCAATTATAAAGAAAAGATAGCAGAGATTTTAAAAAGGGAAGAAGATAGTCTATGTGATGTGTTCCTTATGCATTTGCTTTTTGCACATCTAACAGCCAATCATTATTGCTTTTCAGAGGGATCTACTATTTCTCTAATGAAACCTCAAAAGAATATGGATTACTCTAAGAATGGGAGGCAGTCTCATGTTTCAGGTCTGATTTCCTTTATATCCCGTGATCCCTTATTTAAAAAAGGGCAGAGGCAAGATCACTATTTCCTCAACACTCAGGGCTGGTCTACACTACCCTCCAGATCGGCGGGCAGCGATTGATCAAGCCGGGAGGTGGGGACGGGGGTGGGGGGGGGAAGGAGGTCGTCTATTGATTGCGTCTATCAATCGACCGCTGAGCGCTCTCCCATCGACTCCGGTACTCCACCAGAACGAGAAGTGCAAGTGGAGTCGACGGGAGAGCATCAGCTGTCAACTTACCGCAGTAAGTAGATCTAAGTATGTCGACTTCAGCTACGCTATTCACATAGCTGAAGTTGTGTATCTTAGATGGACCCCAAGCGGTAGTGTAGACAAGCCCTAAGACATGATTGCAGGGCCACCTCAGGTCTGCAGACACACCAGACATGTTACTGAATACCAAAATTTAAGGCAGCCTACAACTCATTTGCTATATTTAGAGGAAAATTGCAAGGGGGGGGGGGGGAAGTGTCAGTAACTTAAACCAAACTCCTTCTACGCAGCATGATGCTCACCTCAAGACGACTTATTGACATTACTATGAAGGGGAGAAACCTTAGTTGCTGTGACCAGATCAGTTTCAATATAGACCATCTCCTAGGAGACAGGGGAGAAGAGTAGATGAAGCCTGTGGCTACAAACTCCAATTTTAAACAAAATGGAGCAGCTCAAATATGTCACTCTATTTGCATTTACTTAAAAAGAGAGAGAAGATGGGACTGCTGCAACTCAGGAGATCAGGGTTCTATTCCTAGTTCTGATGCATATGACAGGTTGGCCAACTCACACTGTGGTTCTGCTTGGAAAAGTGACAGTAGGAATTCTATTGTGTTGTGCCATTGTTTATTCTCGCCAAAATTTCTGTAAGGAAGAACTCAGTTTACAAGTAAGCATGTTTTTTCTGGCTAGCAGATTTACCAAGTCACCCCAATCTCAGTCAACCAGGCTTCTTCCCTTCCCCCACACCAGTACCCTTCACGAAGGTTCTGCAGGCCCAATTAGACCTTCACTTATACCTGTGCAATCACAATCTATAGGACTGCCCAGATGTAACCAACTGGAACCGTGTAAACAATTCTGTTGACAATGCAACAGAAAAAAAAAATACATAACTCAGCTACGCTCTCTGCAGCGGCATCGGTTTGGCCCTGAAAGGAGTAGAGCAGTAAAAATGTCACTAACGTAAGAAGACTGAAAACACTGTGATTCACCATTACCCTGCACCCTGTGTAGTCATTCACACTTGCACACTGGGTGTAGAAAACTATCATTCTAAATCGGAAGCACCCACTTTGCATTGGTGTAACAGACCACACAGGGCAATGGTGATTTACACCAACAAGGAGCTGTTGTAGTAAGAAGGTGCCATTTTATAGTAGTGCACTTTCACCTCTGCCTCAAGTTACTACTGACATTTAATCACAGTCTCAAGCTGGCCCAATGTTAAAATATTTTTAGCCTGATCACTTTCACTATCACTTTTTGTACAGATGCTTTCCATTGAAGTAACCATCTTAGTGCAAAATTGTCTTCAAAAGCTAAGGTCATCTACCTCTAAGTACTTACAGGATAGAAAACTGGGTTAGACACTTTTTGGCTAAAATACTTGTGTTTCAAATATGCATTTTCCTTTTCTTTCTCTCTCTCTCACACACACACGTTTTTAAGCAACCATCAGTAAGAACCCTGTATAACAAAATTTGATGTGTGGGTCATCACTTAAATAGCCACAGAACCCAGAAACATTGAGAATTATTAGCCCAGCAGGAATTGCACTAGTAAAAGGTTTGTTAAAATTCTTTAAAATGATCAGCCTGGACTGATCAAGTGGGTCAAGACAACAGATAATCCACTAGAAGGGAGAAAGTACTTAAAAAAAGAAAAGTTTCATCTCTTGATTTAGATTTTTTTTTTTAAACTTTATTTTTCAACATGACTAAGAATGAAAATAAAACATTTTTATCAGGATTTCTGCAGTATGTGAATCAGCACAATATTTTCCATTACAAAAGGTTATTAAAAGTTAGTCTTAGGGTATGTCCACACAACCCCCTGGATCGGCGGGTAGCGATCGATCGATTTATCACGTCTCGTCTAGACTGATAAATCAATCCCCGAAAGCGCTCCCCGTCGACTCCAGAACTCCACCAGGGCAAGAGGCGGAAGCGGAGTCGACGGGGGAGCTGCAGCCGTCGATCCCGCGCCATGAGGACGGGAGGTAAGTCGATCTAAGATATGTCGACTTCAGCTACGCAATTCTCGTAGCTGAAGTTGCGTATCTTAGATCGATTCCCCCCCCCCCACTAGTGTAGACCAGGCATAAGTCTACACTTTATTGTTGTTTAATCAGGTATTGTTTTGATTATAGATCTTGGGTACAGTCTTAAAGTCCATTTTCTTTCTTTGCCCATTAAAGGGGTTGTCATGTACATCTGCATTTCTTACTGTCATTGATTGTCCTCTTGACTGGAGATGTTCACAGTAACTTTTAGAAAATTCAATACTAGGAAGCCACATAGATGCAAACATCCAAAATGGTCTTTGATTTCTTGGCACATCAGTAATGTCTCCTTAATAGTAGTGATCTATCGGGCCAGATCCTGTCCCAACCTCCTTTGTACCATCCAAAAGTTGCTATTAATAGGTCTAACCAGAGTAGGGGAAATCCTTAATTAGCAAAGTGTCCACCACTATACCACCCTTTCCTGGCTTAGTCACACACCTCAAGGAGGAAGGGATGGCTCCAGAATCTGCTACACTCCCACATTCCTAGAACTACTACAAACAAGATTAATTTGAGAGCAGTCGAGAGGCTACTCTAATTTCTGATGCAGGCCAGTCTGGCAGTGTGATCATGTCTTAAAGTCACCTTTGCCAGCCCTTCACTGTTCTTTGCATTTGGCAAGTGCTGAAAAGTTCTTTGAACTATTTTAGTTAAGAATTCCAGCCTATTTGTTTCTTCTGAAGAGCAATTCAGTCTTTTCTAATTAACTGACCTTTCATTACAGCCCACCATGCATTGCATAGCAGACCCTTTTTAATATTACATTTATCAAGTTCAGAGCATTGAAGGACAGTTTAATAGGTTCTTTTCTTGGGGATCCTACAAGAGGAGAGAATACACTAAACTAAACTAATGGTGGTTTCATAGATAAAGAGTGGAACGGGGCTTGATCTGTGGTATTTTCACAATGCTGCTTTCACCTAATTGAAAGATTGTCTCTGTAGTTTTTGCTTGCAGAAATAGTATGTAATCATTCAAATTTAGATTTCTCCAGTCTTCTATAAAACCTTCTAAAGGAAGGAGAAGAGAGGGCTCTGTGGGCCCTGTTTATTACTACTTCACTTGCTGTTGTCATATTTCAAATTGCCTTTGCGGTATCCTGCAATGAGTGCAAGAACCTTTATTTAGGGACTCCCTTTATTCCCAGTATGGTTCATTTTTTCCATTATGCCCATCTCCATTTTAGAAATTGGATTGCACACGTTTAACTGCTTGATTCTGTACTACATATTCAATATTGCATCAGTATTCTCCCATGTTCCAGAAAAGGGATAATAGAGGTAAACAAGAACTTGGCTTCTCTAGTAAATGACTGCAGGAAAAGGAGGGAAACTGATTTTTGAAGAAATATATAAAATTTGACAGTTGTTACCACCTTCAATAGTTGCAATTTCAAATAAAAAAAAATAGTAGGCTTAATAGTGTCTACATGTGTCTCTTCTCAGATTCAAAAGGGTAGGTAGTAATGAAACAGGTTTCATTTCTGCTTGTGCATTGGAGTTAACTTCATCTGTGCTCCACCAGTGCTTTCTGGGCTTTGGTTGGCAGTGAGAAAAAGGGCTTCTGGCCTCTTCATCCTTTCAAAACTGTAGCATTCAACTTTTTCTTCGGTGGAGACTGTTCTGGTGCTTACAACGTGAAATCCTTCTTTAAGTAAAGTGTCAGCTAGTAGGCCCAGTACGTTAGTTCCATTAATCAGCTTTCTATCATCAGGTTTTATAGAGACATACCTAGAGAAAGAGAAAAGTGTGATTACGAGTTAACATCCTTCTTGGAGGATGGAACCATGTTTTTAACAAGCTAAATTCTCAGCTGATGTAAATTGCCTGCAACAGAACTGCACTGATTTACACTAGCCAAGAATCTAGATTAGTTTTAGGGCTGTCGCATGATTTAAAACATTAATCACGATTAATCACACTGTTAAACATTAATAGAATAATATTTCAATATTTTTTGAGGTTTTCAAATACCGTATTTACTCGTTCATAAGCTGAATTTTTTTTAGTAAAAATGGGAAGCACCAGAGAAGGGGGTCGGCTTATGAATGGGTATAGAGAGGGAGAGGTGGGACAGAGCCCCTCCCCCCAACAGAGGGAGCAAGGAGAGGCAGCACAGCCAGCAGAGACAGAAGGGAAGAGGCGGGGCCAGAGTCTCTCCGCTTCTGGCCATGCTGCTCTCCCCCCAGTCGCCCGGCCCGCCGGAGCACGCTGGAGCAGCTCCAGCCAGGTCAGAGAAATCCTCCCTTGGCCCTCCCCAGATAAGTTGGGAAGGGGAGAGTGTGAGGGTCCCGGGCTAGGGATGGGGTCATGTGGGGGGGTGGTCACAGGGGTTACTCCCCTGACTCCCAGCTTCTCCCCCCCCCCAAACGTTACCCCTACCCAGTTGCTGTCCCGGCTCATCAGGGTAAGCAGCTGGCGCACCGGGTCACTTTGTTTACTTAGGTTTACCTCCGTGCCT